AACTCTTGTATCAAGTGCCTCGAAGAAGAAAAATCTAGTCTGTTAATTGCCATTAGACTTATTCAAATTCAGAATAATTGAGCGGCAAAACATCCATCAAAATCCTCAATTAATGATTCAGATCCGAAGTCAACCGCGGTAAACAAAAATAAGGATTCGTCTAATTTTTTGTTGAAGAAAGTCTGTCTTCGCCAAAAGCAAAAGAGTTGAAACGCAATTATAAAAAGAAGAAATCTTTGTCAACTATTAGGGAAAGAATCATCTACAGAAAAATCATGCCGTTAACAGTAGCGTAGCCAGCCTGTCGATTTTTCCGCCTCTATGCTAATATTTTTGTCTTTACTGACTGTGAAAACATTAGATTTCTAAAGACATTAATAATTATAATAACTCGAAATTTACATAGTGGGACAGAATCGTCAGGCTGGCTACGCCACTGGCTGTTAATCCCTCAACAAATACGAATTCAAATTCTAACGACCCAGCTGGGCAGTCAAATCAGTCATTTAATATTCAAGAGCAAAATAACATAGATATTAATTCATTGAGTTCAAACACAGTAAATTGTCGGTCAAATTAACATGCCACTAATTCAGTTTATAGCATTGAGCATGATTCGACAAAGGGGAAATCATTACGTATAACCACGCGAAGAAAGTGATAGTTATTGGTGAAACGATGCTGAAAAATCTACAAGGATGCCGTCTTTCCACGCCAGAGAATCATGTTGTTGCTAAAATTAAGTTTTGCCGGTGCCACTACTTCAGATATATAAAAGATTATACTAAACCAGTTATCCGGAAAGAGCCTCAAAAAGTTATATTATTACTTATTTTGCATGTTGACACAAATGACCTAAAGAAATTATCTCCTAATCGTGTAGCGGAAGGGATTGCGAATAATTATATCAACTCAAATCCAAGAAGATTCGTCAACAACAGAAGTATAGTTATATCAAGCTTATTGACAAGATCAGACAAGCCAGGTTTATCAACCAAAGTTAACGAAACAAACAAGTTAAATAATGCTATTTGCAGCAAAGGTAAGTGGAAGTTTATTGATCATAAATCTATTAATGCAACTTGTTTGAACTCAGGGGCCGGTTGTTCAAAAGCCGGTTAACGCTAACCCAGGGTTAAAAATGCCTAACCCAGGGTTAAATTTTAAACCTTGGTTGATTTGCGTTGCTCAAAGCTCGGTTAGCGTTAACCCTGGGTTAAAATTGATTAAAAAATTAACCCTGCTAGCTAGGTGGGTTAACTTTTTAATCCTGAGTTAACTTCGATTCAAAATGGATGAATAAGGAGCTGAAACATGTAAACACGTATAATTCGTCATGAATTAAACACTTTTGAAAGGTTTTACGAATAATTTCGACAGCAAAGAATTATTTAAGTTTGACTTCGTTCGGTTTCGGCTGACGTATTGATTTATTTATCTTCGCTTCAACGCAATACACGATAAATGAATACAACCGTACAAATTGAAACATCGTAATCGAAATATTTGTTTCGGATGCCAAAATTCGATTCTTTTGATTGGCAGCAAGTGGTAAGGCTACGTTTGTTCCTGAATTTTGAATGATCAAAGAATGCCTGAAATTTTAAAATAGATTATAGATTGTTTATATATAATTTGCTTAATTTTGTTTCACATCGACATTGTTTATTATACAAAATGGCCTTTCATTTCGAATCTTTCCAAAATTCCATGCACGGAAATTGCTGTTCAAAACAACGTTCCTGCGACCCTGCCCTCACGGCATATAATCTTTCGACTGACAATATATCCTCGTCGGGTAAAGTTTTGACGCTCGTTTATTGACCAATCGAAAACGTTCTTATATCCAATTTAGTCCTTAAAATATATTTAATCTTAGGTTAAATATTTTAACCCTGGGTTAACTAACCCTACCACTAACCCTGCTTTGAACAACACAGTTTTAACCCAGGTTTAGCTAACCTAGGGTTAAGGATTTTAACCCAGGTTTAGCACTAATCCAGGGTTAAATTTAACCTGCTTTTGAACAACCGGCCCCAGGAGGCTAACACTTGAATTATAAAGGAACATCTCTACTAGCTAAGAACATATCAAACTATATCAAATCAAGCTAGGAATATGCCACTGGGGAGTCGGTTACTACGGTAGCTAGTCGTTCTTCGAGGCCGAATTCTAATGCCAAGTCTTTATTTAATTTTCGTAGTCGTGGGCTGTCTGTTGCATGTTTAAATATTAGCAGTCTCATGCCCACATTCATCAGTTACGTATTTATAAACAAAGTATAAGGTCAAACATTGATGTACTAGCAATTAACGAAACAAAACTGGATTCCTCGATTACAAATAACTAAATTCAAATCCCCGGTTACGACGTTGTTAGAGGTGATAGACAACACCTTGGTCGTAACGGCGGTGCATGGGGTGTGTTTGTATGTTAGAAGTAATTTAAACTTTAATAAAGTCCATAGTGATATAGTAAACTCCGAACTTGAGCTACTGTTTGTTCAGATTTCTAGCTTTCGTTCTAATCCTCTTCCGGTAGGGACTTTGTATAGATCCCCTAACTCTGCACAGCATCTATTCTCTCTCTTCCAGCAGATAATTGATAAAATTGATTCTGAAAACGCCGAAATGTATCTACTCGGTGACCTAAATTGTGATTTATCAGCTAAAACGCCCTACGCTAATACTCTTGACCTTTTGGATATTTTCAAAATTTACAATCTTACTCAACTTATTGAGAAACCAACACGAGTGACTAATACTTAGTAGTCTTTACTTAATCTCTGTGTTACAAACACCCCGAACAAGATATCAGTCTCAACTTGGTATAAGCTTGGTATAAGTGGATCACTCGTACGTGTATCTTGTTCGCTCGGAAATGAATCAAGTTTTCGTAAAATTAGTAACGTAGCTTCAGTTAAATAAATTAAACAATCAGACAGAGTGATAACTGATCCACTTGTTATTGCAAGTGCTTTTAATTCATACTTTCACTTCGATAGGTAAAAATCTTGCAAGCAACATAGATAACTCAAATATTGATCCCATCTCTTTTATTAAACCTACATATGCAGTATCTAACTCGTTTACTTATATATGGATAGGACTTTCTAATGACGAAAATTTGACCTGGAAAAAAACATATTGAAGATATTTCTCAAAAAGTATCACCCGGAATAAGTGCTTTAAAATGAATAAGAAGTTATGTCAATCACGATACAGCAGTTAGAGTGTATCAGGGATTAATCGAGCCATGTTTTTTCTATTGTGCTCCTGTTTTGGACGGTATTAGTAGTAAATTGAGCGACAAACTTCAAAAACTCCAAAATAGAGCTGCACGTGTTATAACTTGCTCTCCTAATGATGCCTCCTCTAGCTCTGGGGCCGGTTGTTCGTACGGCGTTTAGCTTAAACGGCGTTTAGTCGCTATCCACCGTATAAATTTCCTATCCTGCGGATAGTTAAACGGTCGTTAAAACTGGGTTGTACGAAGCCCGTTTAGTCTCGCGTGTAACTATCCGCTGGATAAACTCAATCTTAACAAGCTAATACAGGTTAAAACCGGTTATTCCCAGTGGTTGCTAGGTGTTGCTATATGCGGCCGAAGAGCGGGAAATTTTAATTTTTAAAGCGAAGATGGAGTCAGCAAAAAGAGTGCGAAAGCCAAATTTTTCTGCCGCTGAATGCGCGCTAATCTTACAGTTTGCTGAAGAAAATATTGAGACCATTCGGGAGAAATTTTCAAACACCATAACAAACAAAAAGAAAAATGAAGTTTGGCAAATGATGGCGGACCATCAATGCACTTGGTGTGGCAAAAAGAACGCCAAATGACTTGAGGGAAAAGTGGCGAGCGATGAAAGTTGAGGCTCGAAAAGATATGGGAAGAGAAAGAAAAACAACGACAAAGACAGGAGGAGGAAAGCCTGATTCCGGTCTCAAGCCCACGAGTCAAAGAATAATTGAGGTTTTTGGGGATGAACCTGGTTTTTGTGGAATAAAAGGCGGAATTGAATCTGGTGAGTACGAAAAAATATAAATATGCCGGGCGTTTATATAAGTGGTATCGGAGTAGACCCTGAATTTCAAATGGCTCCTCGTTGTTGCTGCACCTTTTTTGCGCTGCATTTTCTTGTTGTAATGAACATATATTACATCGTAAACATAACGTACATCGATTATTGTTGCCAATATTTTATATAATAGATAAGTAGTATAAAGATAAAGTATTTTCACTATTTTGCATAAAATTTCAATTTCAAAAAATACTGAATTCATATATAAATATAAGAACAGAATGTATTAATTACTTTAACCAGAATTAACACATTGCGTTGGTGATTTCTGGAAACAAACATAATGAACAATTTCCTTTTTTTATGATTTTATAAAATTAATATGTTGATGAAAAATATTGTTCATGATATATTCACTTTTGTTGCAGGAACAACTATAAATCTCGATGATTTGAATGAGGAAACACTTGTGGAGAAGGAGAACAACCTTGGGAATATTTTGGACATAATTTTTCCTACTGTTGGTGATGTGCCACCATCATTTGCCATTGATGTTGACAAGACTCCATCATCCATTGTGGAAGAGGAATCACTATCCATTGTGGAGGAGGTATCAAAGGTGCCAATGTCAGTGGGAGAGGCCAGGGAGGAGCAGAAAAAAAAAGAGGAGAAAGGTCACCTCTCAGGATATCCAGAGGGCACAACTGGATGTCCTTATGTTGGAAAAACAGAAAATTACTTTTGAAGTTCAAAACATTCAATTATTGCAAGAAAAATTAAAACTTGAAGTAACCGAGAAGAAAGCAAGTATCACTAAGTATCATCAGTAACACTTGTCCTATATAATGCACTTTTAAATGAGTATATATTTTAATAATCCATATTTTACCAGATTGTATGTACATAATAATTGGTTGTATGTGTATAATAATTCCTGGCAATTATTAACGTTAACATTTAAATATTAAAATGTTTGATTAAGTTAGAAGTATGTTGCTGCAATGTGATTTCTGACTGCTGTTCCAGTATCAACACCATCATAGTAGTTGTTAATCTCCTCTACTAAGGGTTCCTCCTCTTCTTCATCCAGTGGCTCACCATGTTCAATGGCAATGTTGTGTAGGATACAGCAGGCAACAACAATGGCACATACCCTTTTGGGGCACATACGAACTTCACCATGAAGGACATGAAAACGCCGTTTTAGGACACCAAAGGTTCTTTCAATGAGACACCTAGTGACTCTGTGGGCACGGTTAAATCGGCGCTGTGAATAGGTTTCTGGTTCTGGGTAGGGGGTCGTCAAAAATGGCATGCAGGCGTAGCCACTATCGCCCAAGAGAACACTATTCTCCATATTGGTTCCCGCTAAATCGTGGGCAATAGAGGATGTTCGAAATATGTGGCTATCGTGGGTTGAGCCTGGCCATTTGGCTACAATGTTAGTGAATTTTCCTACAGTATAAAATGGTAAAAAATATAAATCAATGGGCATGTTTTAAAATTATACATAATCGAATAAAATGAAATATTTTAGTAAATATGAATATTAATCACTTCCGGTACTAACAAAGTACAAATTCAAAGTACATGCATGCGCAAATGTGAAACATTAAAAGTATTAATTTCTTTACCTTTGTGATCACAAATTCCTTGGACATTTATACTGTGTACCCTCTTTCGGTTCACAAAGTCCGGTTCGTTTTGTGAAGGTGCTAGGATCTTTACATGAGTGCAATCAACGCAACCGATTACACAAGGGAAATTGGCAATCTCGTAAAAACCTAGTTTTACGGTGTCTCGGTCATCTTGTGTTTGTGGAAATCGTATGAACTGGTTAACTTTACGGGAAAGAGCAAGGGTCACACGGCGTATTATCACGAGAGACAGTGGATTTATCTAAGCTGGCAAGAGTATCTGCGGTCACCTGCTGAAAGCTTCCCGAGGCAAGAAATCGAAGTGTTATTAAGACTTGGTTTGTGGCGGACACGGCATGGCTTCTGTTTGTTGTGGGACTTATTTCGTCTTCTAGGAGATTGACTATGAAGACAATGGTTTGTCTGCCGAAACGATAGCGTCTACGCAGCTCATTGTCATCATAATATTGTAATGTGTTGTCGATTTCACGTCTGTAAACTCTATCTGCTCGTTCATTTACTCTTGGAAGCGCATAAAAATGGACGCCAGGTAATTTGAAATTTGTACAACGCCATTTTATTTAATTTTTGTTATAAAAATTGACAACACACAATTATTTATCCGCCTGATAGCGATTTAAACGGTCTCGGGAGACCGTTTAAATTTATCCACCGTTTAGCTAAATTTTAACCGGTGGATAGCGCTAAACGGGCTTCGTACAACGCGATTTTTCAAGCGTATAAATTTTATACGGTGGATAACGAGTTAAACGGTGGTTAACGACTTAAACGCCTTTCGTACTTGGATGGAATAACTTGCATGTTAACCATAAAATGCAAAAAGCGATTCTCGTGTATAAAGTCAGGAACAATTTAACACCTATGTATTTACAAGATTTGTTTGTCACTAGAGTTAATCACTATAGTCTCAGAGATTCAAATGGCAAACTATTCGTTCCTAAACCTAAAACTGACTATGCTATGACTAAACGCTCCTTCGATATGTTATAGTGGATTCTTCATTTAAAAGATCTTTGACCATTAATTGTAATTCTATTTAGCTTAATCCGACTCCCACACGGCAACCTAGTAGAACAGTAGTTTTATAATTTATATAAGTTTAGAGAAATTTATCAACTTCACATGTATTTTAATGAATGGTTTACCGTGTTTTAAATAAAATATGTATGTGTATGTATGTATGTAAATCGAGGCAATATTGGACGACCGCCCAATAACCTTCGTCTCATCCAACATCGAAGATGAACAACCCTTGACACCTTCCCATCTCCTTTACGGTCATAGAATAACAGCATTACCGCACCCTTTGCCGATGACGAATTGTGCGATCCAACCTTCAATGAAGAACCCACATTATTTCAACACCTTGCAAAAAGGAGAGCTGATTTAATCGACCACTTCTGAAACCGCTGGCAGAAAGAATATATGACATCACTCCGCGAATTCCACCAGGCAACCGGAGCAAACCAGATTTGTGTCAAGGTGGGCGACGTTGTCCAGGTACATGACGATACGAAGCGCATCAACTGGAGACTAGCTGTGGTTGGCAGTCTCATCACTGCCAAAGATGGATTAGTCCGTGCAGCAAATATCAGAACGAGCACAGGCCACAATAACCGTTCAATCAAAAAGCTGTACCCACTCGAGGTTGCCGCGACAATTAGAAGTAATCCTGATGAAAGCCATGTAACTCCAACTCACGACAAAAGTATTGCGAATGGTCCATTGATTGATACTCTCGTGTTTTCTCCTTTTATTGATACGTAAATAAAATTTATAAACTCGTCTTCGATCCTCCGTTTATTATTCGAAAGAATTTTTTGGTAAAAGTTATCGGTTGCTTAAATCAATCACAATGCAATTTCCAGATTAGCAGCAGAAATTGAGGCAATGCGGATAAGACCATACAGGAGGGACAACTTTGGACAGAATAAGTCTTTGTCCTCAACATTGCTCAAACTGATACTGAACGTTGAACGTTGTGTGCTCATCCTCTTCATATTGCTGCTGGCAATTCACCATCTTTCTCGTATTGCGTGCAAGTCATTACCTCGCGGTCTTAAAGTCTGCCAAGCTCATCTACCCCAGCACAGCCACACTTTCTATACACACAAAGTCTATATTTAAAACTGAAATTACATAAGTTTCCTACTTTAAATGTTAATAAAAACCAAAAAGGTTAATGTTAATGGTTAATGCACTACACTTTTTATAAAAGTAAACCTTCAGTCGCAGTTCATCCTATGTGTCTTGATGCCGTGACGTCGGAGAGCATTTTTCATAACGTCTAAAAGTGCGTACGAATGCTTTATACTGCTCTAGTGAGTGTTGCTACGAACGAAAGATCATTTGGTAAGATGAAAATTATCAAAGCCGCTTTGCGATCGACAATGGAAGGTGAACGGCTGGATGATTTACTCATTCTTGCTACTGAAAAGGACATCACGGATAATAATTTACATAAACTCCGTTCACAAGATTTGGGCAGCGAAAAGAGTCGATAACTCAAGATAAAATTACTGTAATTATAGAAATTAATCATTGCAAGTTTGCTTGTTTATTTATCTAAAATAAATGTATTTTAGTAATTCTACTTCTTGAAGCCAATAGCAAATATAATTTTTTAATGGTTTTGTTAAATGTCTTTTTATCAACAGAGACCTGAATAGTAGCTGCTCACGTCTCATGTTTGCTGTTGGGCCACGCCCTTACTTGTTTTTTTCGTCGGGCAAAATTTCCCTGCACCCCCCCAGCTCAACACCCAAATTACGGCCCTGCCTCTAAGGTCCTAGTCCCCAGCCCAATTAGTTAACATTCACCGAAGGCGTTAAACGAACGCAAAGTCTCATTACTGAACGAAACAATCGTTAAAATACAGTTCCCCATTGCCTACAACTGTAGAATAGCAAGCTCTTATTGGAGAAACGTTTAATATCGCACTAAAGTTGCCAGCTTGGAGAACTGAACGCTTGCTTGCTTACCTTTACGGAACGCGAACATAGAAATTGCTTAAATGAGATGTTTTAACTCGGGGAAACAGTAGCTTACTCATTAACTTTCTAAGATCGTCGTGCATGTAGCTCTGTGCGAATGCATCCCAGTTTAAAATCATAGTACTTGCTTGAAGATATTTCTATTCCTGAAAGTTCTGAATATTTTGGAATTCTTAAATTTGATCGTGAATCAAATGATATTACTAGACTGTACATGTAGCGATTAGGTCTAGTCGGTCTACTCGCGATCCGCAAAGCATCTATGGAATGTTTGGAAGGACAGGATATTTAGGTCTAAAATTGTTTGTCCCTCTAAACAGTCCATAGATGCTTTGCGGATTGCTACTAGACCCAGTACCCTACTCGATTGGGAAATGGCTAATCAAAATTCCTTTAAAAAGGTCCTGAGGTTCCGAGACCTGCCGATATTTTACGAGGCAAAGTCGAGTGAAATATCGATGGTCGAAGATATATATAAATATATATATATATATATATATATATATATATATATATATATATATATATATATATATATATATTACCTGATTTCTTTGTAACGTTTTCTTTTTCAACTCCATTCTTTGCCTATACAAAATTTATTACAACATCACTGCTGTTAGGAAAGTATGGATTTTAATATATCACTACATTAATTACACTAATACAAGAGTATTATGAAAATTACGACCATATATATTGTAATCTCTTTTTTTTCTTAATATCAATTTTTGTCTGTATACACGGACAAAAGAAACATGAAATACCGCATAATTATCTTCCGTCTGTTTGTAAACGACGCGCGAAGAAAATTTCAATTTTATCCGCAAGAAGTTTATTATATCCAATAGAAAATGTATTATCTTGAAGCTAAAACAATTTTTTATTTGTATATATTTTGTTTATCTCAAAAGCTTTCCTATAAGCAAAGATATTTTAATGCCGATCTTATACTTTTTAAATTAAATTTTACAGAGGCGTAAATGTGCCAAATTTCGCTTTGTGATTAATATTTTCATCTATTTTGCTTGAAATACACTCATTTTTGGGCAATTTATGGTGATTTTCGACAAAAGTGTTTACAAACGAAAAATTACCCACTGATATTACCCCTAAGATCGATTTCCGGGTTTATTTTACCCCTAGGGGAGTGTCAGTTTAGTCGCCACGTCGTGGGTCATAAAATAGCTTTTTTCGCCGAATCAAAAGTTTTTAAACATTTACGCCTGTATTCAAGAAGCTCACTCACACTCACATTCATTGAGTGTGACATATAAATATTGTTAATGCTGATCAATGAGAAAGTTTTCTCTGAATAGATGGAAAGATGTAAGGTAAATAACTGAAGATCAAGCCCCTACTCGCTCAAAATACCGCCATCGAAACGTTATGGGAAGATTAAGATCTCCAACTCAATGAGTTTGAGTGTGAGTGTGAGTGAGCTTTTAGAATACAGGCGTTAAAGTGCATATGAGCCATTTGTTTTTGTTTCATAAATGAGAAGTTTAGTTAGGTGATAATAATAAAGATCTAAACACTCTGTAAAGTGATGAAAACTAGTAAATTATTTCTGCTACCTTTGACACTGTTGCTGCTATTAAAATCTCGACGTCACAGACATAAAGGCCTCGGAATTTTGGGCGGCGGAAAAATTACTTAATTAAGCGAACCAAATTCACCGGTCAATATACCTTGCCTAGAGGTAT